AGAGAGAGAGAGAGAGGAAAAAGGACGAAAAGAAAAAAAAGAAAAAAAAAAAGCTCGCTCAGTAAAAAGAATCTCTCTTTTTATGCTCTGTAAGTGTAGATCTCCTCTATCCCCGTATCTTCGTCTCTTCGCTTGTTAAATACGTAATAAATATATTGCGTTATTACAAACGTGACAATAAACAGCGAGGGGTTATGGTTATACTACTATTAGGTCGGAGAAGCTAATGCCCATAACTTAAAGGTAATTAAGAGAGTGGCAGATACACAATGGAATGTGAGACATGTGTTGGAAAGAAACTGACGGGTGTGTGTCTCTCTCTTTCTCCGATTAAACGAGAACGGGCGCGATCGCGGTTTCTCTCGGATTTTTTCTTTTCTTTTTTTTTTTCTTCGTCTTTCATAAACTTTACAACATAATCTGATACATCACCGCGAATACATCGAGCACTCATGTCACACATGTTAAAAACTCGCGCGTAAATAGATTCTCTACTCTCAAAGTACTCATCTCACATATTCGCTTCACATGAAAAAAACAATAAACCGTAACCTACTAATGTAAAATAAAAGTCTCTCAAGCGATAACCTGTCCACGAGACAATCGAGATTGTCCGACGGACAGATTGTCACTTAAAACACACAGCTTTGCTAATTACAAAAAAAAAGAAAAATTTTTTTTTTCCACAACGTATGTGTAAAATCATTTCACGGTATAACGAACGGTGTTCTCTCGCTTTCACGAAATTATCTTTCGATTATAAAAAGTATAATGAACACATAAACACGAATCGTTAAACGAGTTCGAAATCATAGACGAAATATCATTTCCACGATTTCCAATCTTATCCAAAACTCTCTTTTATTCAAAATTCTCTCAAAAATCGCGAAAGGTACGGGGAAACCCTTAGAATTGCACTCTTTGCTTTTTCGTTATTTCGTTATTTCTTTTTTTTTTTTTGTCGCTGCGCTCTGCTAGCTCGCATCATTTTAAAACCTTGTAATATCCAACAAACGCAAAGCCACCAAAGTATTTACAAGCGTTCGCGGGGGGGGGGGGGGTGAAAAAAAACGTGAAATGTGACGCGATCAACATCTCTTGTTATCTTACAATAAATACGTTGCTTTCGTTAAAACGATTCTCATGATTGTGCTGGATATATAAAGTATATATTTATATATTTATTTATATATATTGCATCTAAAATTCTCCTAAAACCTGCCGGTGCGTTTCTCGCGCCGCGCATACCTCCTCCCTTCCCCTTTTGATTTCTAACACAATAACGTAAATATCAGGATACACTGTCAAACAGAAGACAAACACATCTTCCTCAATACGTGCACCTCTGGTGGTACTGTGCAACAGGAATTTCAACAAATTTGCGTGAAAATTCCGCGAATAAAAAACGAATTAAAACCGCCGATTTGCTCAATCCCGTTAAAATCCAAATCGCGCATATACACGCATACACACACACATACACACGACGAAAAATTTAAATTTTGCTTCTCTCCTCTTCCTCTCTTTCCTTTTCTCCCTCTTTCTCTCATCGATGAGGAAATTCTTTTTATTTTTAGTTCCGTGCTCTTTTTCTCTTCCTTCACGTCAATTGATTGATTGATACACGTCACCGATTTCGATTTATATCTTAGAACTAATCATCGAAATACTATATAAATCACAGCAAATTCGCGCGCAGTAAAGGAATTCCCGAAAATTCCTATTACTCAGATGCGACAAGTTGCACCATTGACAAAACGATGTTTTGTGTTCCTCGCCTTGACTAGTGTATGTAAAGCTCGTAACCGTTTGATCTACACTGTGCAGATAATTAAACGCTCTCTCATTCATTATCTCTCTCCTTAATTATTGCACTCAGTTGCAACAGCATTGATTTCTTTTTCTCTACTACCCCTTTGGTGGCAGTGACAAAGAACGCGTCACGCGACGATCGTAACCCTATACAACTCAAAAAGTCATCCCCCCATTTTTATCTCGAGTTAAAACTTAAGGGCATATAAAAAAAAACGTGGGTCTGTATCTGCAAGAGCCGACAACGAATTAACTCTAACGAGGCTTTCAACGGCTACACGTATAACACACATATACCGCTCAGTGATTGACGCATCAACGAAAAAAAAAAAAGGCAAAAATGATATTGTACAAATGTAACAGATAAGTTCTAAACATCTCGATTGCGCTTTTAACAATTATTAGGTACGTTTAGAATATATACGAATGGAGAACAGCGAGATCCTCTTTGCGTAAGGAAGGGCACGTACGCTTGCTTGCTTGCTTGCTTGCTCGTAAAATTAACGAATTACTTAATGTCTTTCACGATATTAACAGCTGAAACATGGAAGTATAAACGATTATATATAGCATAAACACGTATATATACATATACCCAATATTCTCGGTAACGCTCCGACGTCGGCATCGAGCTGCCGATTAAACCGTGTCGTGTGTCGCTAAGTAATCTCTAAGTCGTATATCCGTAAATAAGACGTGCTGGTCGCCTCGTACATTCGCGCGTGTCACGAGGAAGCGTACGCAAGATATTGCAACAACCTGATTCCTTCTTACGTTCTTTTTTTCTTTTTTCTTTTTCTTTTTCTTTTTTTTTTTTTGAGTTGTATCTGGCTATATATATATGCACAGGACGCAGTGCGCGATAGACTCGCAAAGAGATGTAGAAAATAGGACCGCCGTCCGTACGTGGCTACGTAATTACCATCGTCCTCGTCGTCGTCATCGTCGCCGTCGTCACCGTCGCCGTCGTCACCACC